GTCTGGTAAATTTACATGCTTAAAAAAAAGAAGAAATGCAACAAGTGAAGGAGCTGTGAAGAGTACATGTAAGACAGGGAAGAAGGGGGGGGGGGTGGTAGAGCACTGAGCATCGGAGAAACATTTGATGACATCACGGAAAAGGCAGTGTGAGGGTGCATGCGATTTATGGGTGTTTAGGAGCACAAACACGGTGAGAGACAGGAGCAGAAACTCATATGCTTTCACTCTCTGCTCTCAGTCAAAACATGTGCACTTGCCCCAAGCTGGAACACAGCTCACTGCCAAATGCTGCTTATCCCTGTGCTGGCATCTATCGCCAAAACTCATGTGGCTTGACTTAGTGCCACTGTTTTGTACCATTTCATCTGCGCTATTTGTGTACCAAGCAAGTTCTACCAACCACGTTCCCTTTGCAGTGTGGAAATGGAAAGCTGTTGGCAACATGCAGCAAACCCCATGACCTGTCATCCATGACGAGGATCTGTAATAGTACTACATAATGATGCTATGTTTGTGACAGGCAGTACATCACAGCGTGTTAATATCTGTAAGTAAATGCTGTGATGGAACGGGCTGTCCTAATTGGGTCATAGAGGTGCAACTGTGCTTCAGATTCACTGGCTCTTTGGCAGAGAGAGGTGAATGTGCAGATGTCAATGATCATATGTAGTTCAAATTTCTCAAGCTTTCAACTTTAGACATAGGATGAGGCGGCTCTGTGAAATTTACATTTTTTTGGGTCAAAATTTTGTGCAGTGCTTTTATCGAGAGATCGAGGGATTTTCAACATAGCGTTTCTAAATATACTAGTTTTCTTTAGAAATAATTATTTCTATCTGCACACAATAAAAGAGCAGAAAAAGAATTGTCTCACAAAGCAGGAGATGGATATAGAAAGTTATCACAGCATTTCCAGATGAACAAGAACTGGAGTGAGAAGTATCATCAAGAAATTCAAAGAGCCACAAAGTACAGGACAAGCCTGGCAGAGGTAGGAAGTGAAAGATTTCAAAGACTCTGAAAGAAAACTAGTGAGAAATGTGTTTGAAGACCCCAGAACAACTGCCAAGACACTAGCGAGAGACGTAGCTAAGTCAGGATCTGTAGTCTCAAAGAAGACAGTCACCAGAATCCTGCACAGGAATGGAATGAGAGCTTGCAGACCAAGAAGAAGAGACACCCTAAAGCCAGACTGAAGTATGCGGGCAAACTGGAAGCGCTACCTTTGGTCAGATGAGATGAAACTAGGGTTTTGTTTGTGTGTAAAATAATGCAAGGATCCAAAAACTAGGATTTTTGGAAAAGCATTTTCTTTTCATTTTGTGACCTTCAGACACTCGGCCACTTCTGTCTTTGGTTCTCAGTGATTCCGTCTTCTGTACAAGTTTGTGAATATTCATTTCATTTTAGTTTTTTGTGCCATTCCTTACTTCAGTTAAAATTATAATAGCATTTGTCGACAAATAGTAAAAAACCCAGATCTTTTTAGTTACCATTAAATATTAGTGTCATTTAGAGCAATATATTATTATATATCAGGAGAAAATGTAATCATGTGCATGCTTGTTTTATTAGATGCGCTTACGCCAGCATCCAGCCCATCATCGGTTGTTTACGGCGTGGTGGCTGGCCAGGAGGAATTGTCATCTTCATCCACATCACTGAACCTGGAGTGCCGAGTGTGTTCTGACCGCGCCTCGGGCTACCACTACGGAGTCCATGCCTGCGAGGGCTGCAAGGTGAGATAAAGATATATGTAAAATAAAGAAGAAGTGCTCTGAGAGCGCACACGGCAAGGCAGCTCACTCTCTGGACAGTATTTACTTTTAAGAGAATTGTGTTGTATTTTTTTTATACATTCATTTTGTTTTCTTCGGTCTTTTTTAAATGCACTTAAAGACGTTTATAGTGCTGTAAAAACAAATGTAAAGTGCAGGCTTTTGTTATTTTCCTTTTTGAATTTAATATGCTTGACATACTCAGATTTTGAGTGTACAGTATTCCCACGCCACACCGCGGTTCACGTTTTGCGGACTCTCTACAATCCCGGATTTATCTATAAATTTATATCACGGGAATTTTGTTAAATCGCGGGTTTCTGCAGCCTATAGGTATACTGTGCCGCTGCACATACAAATGTTTTTAAAATACGTATGGATGTATCTCAAAAGTGTTTAGGAGGGTAGAAAAGTTTTATAAGAGTGTGCGGAGGGTTTTTATGGTTTTAAATATATAAAAATAATAAAATAAACATGGTTTTTACATTCTAGAACGTAACCCCTCGGATAATTGCGGGAGTACTGTAATAGTTTTTTCATATGTGCCTACACTACATGTGTAGCATTCATGCAATTGTTGTAGAAAATTCCTTTAAATGTTTAATAAATAATGCAATGCTAACAAAGTCAAAACTTCCTTGGCGAATGTAGCTATTGTCGAAAAAGTGGTTCTGTCATTATGCTCGATAGACTTCATAGGTCCTTTTGCCAGATGAGCGCACTCATCTTTTCACCCTATGCCCTGCTTAATCTTTACCACCAATATCCATCCAATCTCCTTCCCCATACGGCACCCTCAGTGAGGCACAGAAAGCCAGCTTAACCCACTTTAACCAGTTTTAAAAGAGTAAATTATTTCTTATTTTTAGGTATAACACTAAAAAAAGAAGGAAAAGCCAGACTGAATCCAGGTGCAGTGTGTGTCTTGTGACTAATGATGGCTTATAACAACATCGTAAATGTCACATTTGGCCTTTACACATAGTTGCTTATTAGTCATTCAGTTAATTGTTTACCAGTTGTTGAAGAGGAAACCAAGGCCGTCTTAAGATAAACTAGGGGTCAAAGACGGTGTGACTTGAGATGTTTTTCAGCTACTGCTGGCTGTCACTTACTTCAGGTAAACGATCTGGAAGACGTGGCGATTAAATCGGGGGACGTCTGTACTTCTGCGCTCTGTAAATACACTTAACTTAGATGTGTCAGCCAGTGATAGAAGTGATAGAAAAACTCAGATAAAATGGAATAATCATGTTGCGTGACTGTAGATCAGTGCTTTGATACAGATGTATCTGTAGTAGATGCTACCTGAGGTCAGTCCACAGGTCAGCCAGAGTTGTTTTACAGCAAGTCTTAAGGCTGTAAAACAATAAATCAAAGGAATTTCTCCGAAGTCAAGGTAAATTTGTTCAGCCTATACCTTTAGGAAAAAGTCATGTCAGTGCATATCTATAAGAGGTGGCCTGAAAGTACTAAAGGTTAATGTTAAACCCCAAACTTTGAACATGAGTTGAATGGGAGAAGTCAACATTTCTTGATCATAACCAGAAAATCTAGAAATTGTGCCTTTAATTACAAATTTAAACAGCGTTATCCTCACGTTCTCTTAAAGCACTCAATAACTGAGAAATGATTATGTAGAGCAGGAGTTCTCACATTGCTGATGACAGCTGTGAGAAGAAAGTGAGTCCTTCTGTCACCTTGTATAATGAGCTGAGTGAGTGACTGATGACAGTGAAAGGGTTACTGGGATGTGGGAAAAAACTGTAGGAAGTATTCGAGAAACTTAATGAAATTCTGAAATATGGATGACTAAATATGCCACAATCAAAGTTACAGTTGAGGAAAAACAGCAGTAGTTTAGCCAAAATTAGAAAAAAATATGAATGAATGAAAATATGATTTTTACTTTGTTTAACGTTGATAAAGGTTTTTCTGTTACAAGCTACTGATGATTGCACAGCCAAACCATGGAATCGAAGTCTTTATTTCAAAGATGTAAGAAAGAAGTGTTAATTTACAAAAGACATAAATGAACATGAAATAAAAGAAAGCTATCATATTCACGTTTCACGTCAAACTTTTAAATGTCTCTCTGCTGTAACACAGCTGAGTGAAAATGACTCATTAACAAGACTCTGTAGGACTTGACTGCATGCTAAATAAATTTAAGTGTTTAGAAAATTGTATTTCTAAAAATACTATTATTGTACCATGTTCATTCACTAATGAGCTGCTGTAACATGAATCAAATGACTGAATTGCCACTTCAGCATGTAGTCAAGTTTTTCTAATGACCTACTAATTTTATTAAGGTGTTCTGCAGCAGGGACACATAGAAAAGTTTCAGGACGCTGGCCCTCGAGGACTGGAGTCTGACACCCGTGCTTTAGGTCATTATATGCCAGGGGTGGGTAACTCCAGGCCTTGAAGGCCAGTGCCTTGCAGGTTTTAGATCTCACCCTGGGTCAGCACACCTGAATGAAGTGATTAGTTCATTACCAGGCCTCTGAAGAACTTCAAGACATGTTGAGGGGGTAATTCAGCCGTTTGAATCAGCTGTGTTGGATGAAGGACGCATCTAAAACCTGCAGGACACCAGCCCTTTAGGCCTGGAGTTCCCCCACCCCTGTTATATGTGTATAAGTTTTCATTATACAATCAAATCTATACATATATGTGCTAAATAAATATACTTATCGAATACACAGGCTTTTTTAGATTAATATATATATTAGTGCTGCCAGCGTTAATCTCATTAAAATGACATTAAACGCCATAACCGCATTAACGTGGCAAATCTCTGTTGGCGAGTTACTGCGGATCGCCCCGTGCGTGGGGCTTCACGGCGTCAACGTGTTAAAATATCTTTATATATATATATCTGTATACACTGATCAATAATTATTTAAATACACATAGTATTTTAAAGCATTGCTTTTTATATACACAAATATCCATATTTAATGTAAAGCATGACCATTAAGCACCCTGCCTCATCCATATACTGATTTAGAAGTGCTTTTTTTTTTTTTAAATATAATTTTTTTTATTTGTGTAAAAATAAATTAATTAATAAAAAAAATAAGGAAACAACAACCATGGAAACCAATAGTTGTCAATAATTTTCTTACAACGCTCACACACACACACACACACCTGTTTTTGTTTAGTTCTTCTCTGATGTTTGGTCAGCGATCAGTAATAGAAACATGACCCTCACCAGTCAGGACATGGCCAAAGCCGGCATGCAGCCCACTTGAGCGAATCTGAATTTCTTTTCCATCACCGAGTTATTGTATACCTGTTTGTGTGCCAGTGTCAGGCTCAGGGTTAGTAGGTGAAAGTCAGCCGGTGTTGCGAGCTCACATGACTGTCACACGTCTGTGTATTCTTGCTCCGTACGTACTTTAGCAAACTGATTGACTGAGTTTTGGATGAAATCTTTGAAGCTTGCTGTTAGCAAGTAAAGGATAAATATGTTATGAAGCACCTCCCCAGGACATTTTCCTACCCTTCGATGAACTATAAGTGCTGTTTGGTCCATCTGTTCCTTACCAAAGTTAAATATTGCTTTGTGTTAAGGTTGTGTAAACAGAAGGAAACTGGTGGTATTGCTTTGTGAACAAAGAGCTGCTTTTCCCATGATTATCGTCTTAATACAGTGGGGAGACGATAATTTTATTTCTGAAACTGGCTGCTGAACGGCTAACTTTATTAAAAGTAAAATGTAAACTTTACTCTGTTTTATTTCAATTTTTATGAACTTTCTCAAAGAATACTTCACTTTGTGTCTGAGCAGTCTGGTCAAATGAAAACACGTTTGCTTCATGTGAGCACTAATTACATTTCTTATGTTCTTTTTTTTTAACCCCTCCCCTCAACCCCCCAGGGTTTTTTTCGCCGGACCATCCGTCTGAAGCTGGAGTATGACAAGTGTGAACGTCGCTGCAAAATCCAAAAAAAGAACCGCAACAAGTGCCAATACTGCCGCTTCCAGAAGTGCCTGTCAGTGGGAATGTCCCACAATGGTGAGTCCTGGGCAGTGCTTCGAGCTCAGAAGCACACATCCACACGTCTATCTTGCTTGTTACTTGTAAACACAGACTACTTAACAGAGTAGCACAGTTGTGCTGCTGCCAGGGAAGATTGAACAGGCACGTACCCACATAATTAGCACAAATAAGCCATCAGACAGTTGGGTGTTCAGGTGCATGTTAAGGCAGGTCCCTAACTGACACCTAATTCAGGCGAATATAGATTTATATGTCGTCTTCATTTAACCTTTGGACAATTTCCACTCTTTTTATTCAGAAATAGACCAGAAACAAACCTGCAGATGGAAGGCACGCCCGTTCTCTGTCTTGGCAGTGCTAGTATCACATTGTATTATAATTACATTGGCTGAAACTGCTTGACCCATTTGGTGCAAATGTGCAAACAGGAAGGGAAAATCACATGACCTTGTGCGTCCCTCCACCCGATTTTTTTTATTTTTTATTTCCAGCTTGCAAATACTCACTAATAGTCAGATTTTGTGCAAATTTAGCACATGGAGAACATCAGGAGAGCAAATTATTAAGAGTTTAAGTGGTTCTCACTATTGCTAATTTATCACCGTTACTAGTTCGTTGAACTTCCGCATAGTTCTATTCACTTGGACACTGAAAAGAAATCTTGTGTTTTGCAGCAATAACCTCTATTTCTGTCTGTGTGTGAGGGGAGATATGCATGTTGGAACACAAGGATTTCACAATTGGAGAAGCTTAAAAGATTCCCTCCTTGGTGTGGGCTGTCTTTCTTTTAAATACAAAAATATTGTGTGAAATGATATTTACACTCAAAATATAGCACGTCATGTTGACCCTGGGCTAAGGTCATTGTGCTGATCGAAAACATGAGTGTATGTGTTTGTATGAGTGGACTTCTGCTAAAGGTATCAATGCAGCCAGTCCGTGCACACAGTGTGCAACAGCTTTGATTTCTCTCTGGAGAGATTGATCGAATATAGCCTTCTCTGTTGAGATATAGTTTAGGTTACCCCTCCTCTTATGGTTTATGTTATTGACTTCATTGAGCAAAATGTAAGCGAGTACAGGAACTTGAGGGTATGTGAGACCGTCGCAACCTTACATCCTGATCTTTGGAGGTGTGGTGACACCAGAGGACCACAGCACGGCTATTTTTGTATGTCTCTTTGTATCGATTTAGAGTCATTTACAGTAGCCACAAGTATTGCATTTTATTTTATTTTTTTAAATTTCAAATGTAAACCGATCAGACATTCAAAGTTAAAGCGTCAACAGAAAGGTGAAGAAGTTTAGAATAAAAATGGTTACATTTACATTTCAGTCTCAGCATGTAGTTTATGTAAAAGTCTTTATTTCCAAAACGTAATCGAAAAAAGGACTGGTACACCGATCAGGCAGTGATCAGACTCATCTGTTAGTGGGTGGGATATATCAGGGAGCAAATGAACATTTTGACCTTGTAGTTGACATGTTAAAATCAGGAAAAACGGGCAAGTGTGAGAATTTGAGCAAGTTTGACAAGAGCCGAATTGTGATGGCTAGATGGCTGGGTCAGAGCATCTCCAAAACTGCACCTCTTTTAGTGTGTTTCCAGTCTGCAGCGGTCAGTATCTGTCAAAGGTGATCCATGGAAAGAACAGTGGTGAACCAGTGACAGGATGATTGACGCACATGAGGAGTGAAGGATCGCCAGTGTGGTCCGGTCTAACAGACAAGCTATTGTAGCTCAAATTGGTGAAAAATATTTAATGCTGATTCTGATAGAAAGGTGTCAGAATACACAAATGAGTCAGGGATGGGCAGTCAGATTTTTTTTGTCTTTTGGGTCCTGCCATCCATGTGGATGTTACTTCACGCATACCGCCTACTTAAGCAATACTGCAGACCACGTGACCCTTTCATGGAGGCGGAATTCCCTGATGGCCTTTTTCAGCAGGATAATGCACCCTGCCACAAAGCAAAAATGGTTCAGGAATGGTTTGAGCACAAGTTTGAGGTGTTTGATCCATGGAGGCCTCACCTCTCAGCTTTGAGGACTTAAAGGATATGGTGCAAACATCTCGGTGCCAGATATCACAGCACACCTTCAGGAGTCTTTCCCTGAGGAGCCGGGCTGTTTTTAGCAGCCAAAGAGGACCAAGACAACATCTAGGCAGGTGGTCATAATGTTATCCTTCATCATGGTATATAGTGCTTTTCTACTCTAAATGAACACTCAAAGTACTTTTTAATACAAGCTTCATTCACCCAAAAATACACACATCGCACTTTTCTTTACCCAAACACTTTGTTTCTAAGCATTGCAACAGCACAAAAACTCTTTATTAGCAAAAGGGACTGAAAGTTTTCTCAAATCCAGCAACTTATTTCCTCACGCATTTCATTTGCTGACAAGACGCAGACGGCTCAGCAGACTGACGGGCTGACCCCTGCCCACCTTCAGCTCCCTTCCACGCTTATCCCCTCATACTGTTGCTTAGGAATTAGACTTACACGAAGCTTAGCATCAATCACTTCCTCACATCTTAATTGGACTTGGCTCCTGGCCAGGCGCCCACCGTGGAGCTTTACTAGCTTCAGATGATCCATCCACATTCTGAGCAGTAATCTAACGGGCCCTCGTGCTGCCTGCCAGCTCAAGGTCTCATCCTTTCGCAGTCCTCTTCAGTATGCTCGGATTCATTTTGTAAGCAACCATCAATAAATATCTGATGTTTTTTTTTTAATGCTTTTACGGGCTCATAAAAAACAGGCAGTTAGTACAGCTGGTCTCCTCACACAGACGTGCAGATTTGTGTGTGAGTAAAACAGCTTGTGCACATTTAAACTAGTGAAGAGGGGTTGGAAATAGTTCACCTCTAATCTCATTAGTCAAATGGGATCAGACAGTCTGAGCGATGCCAGCATCCTCTCATAGAGAAATAGCGCTTATTAACACATGTTGTTGAAGAACGTTTCAAGCAGATGTTGCCCACTTTGTAATTTGTGCTAACTTATGTCATTACTGTAATGCATAAAAAGTCCATTTGCCTTTCAATGGCAAGCAGACATGTTTACTGTCTCTTTTTTTTCTTCTTATCCTTGCACAATGTTTCATATAGCACAGGATATTTCTGATGCACTGAAAATTGTTACATATTTGACTGAACCTTCTATGGTAAAGTGTTTTTCCTGACCTTTTAAACTGTTTTTGTTGCTGTAGATTTATTGTACGTGTTCGGGCATAGCGAGATGTTTTGGCAAAAGCCAGGGGAACTAAATTGACTTCATGAAACAAGTCTCTTGTTTCTTCGATGTTTGTACTTTCATCCGGCTATAAGCCACTGAATTTAAGCTGGCACTGAGACGGGCAGATACAAGTTAAATTACATCTTTGATTGAGCTCAGCATTGGACGTTTATGGTGTTATCGTGGAATGTGTTCTGTTGTGTTCAGCTATAAATGCCGTTTTAACTTGTCCATTCCATCTGTGTATTCTCTTCCACTAAATTCATCCTGTGCTTGTATGTTATTCAAGAGTCCCTTCTTTAGAATACAATATAAGGCTGTCTGCACATCCTCTGTGGTGTTTGGCAACAGATATGCTTTCTGCAGTACTACCATATTAAAGTATTAGCTTTTTGAATTTGCAGAAATTGTTTATATTTTCTGGATACATTTAATATTTTGCCTTCATTTTTAAGTTTGCTTGAAACAGTTGTATTTAGCAAGGTGCTTTTACTGGAACTGCACTTGGTGTAACTGAAATAAATCTATGACTCGACACTTTTATGTCACCACAAAGTCATCTCCATCTCGCTGTGTGCTGTCCGCAGCCATCCGGTTTGGTCGGATGCCCCAGTCAGAGAAGCTCAAACTAAAGGCGGAGATGGTGACGGTGGACAAAGAGGTGGAAAACCCCCAGCTTGCTGACCAGAAGACCCTGGCCAAGCACATTTATGAGGCTTACCTGAAGAACTTCAACATGAACAAGGCCAAGGCTCGATCCATTCTCATGGGCAAGACCAACACTGCTGTACGTTGATTAGTGAGTAAAGTAATGGGTTGGTGAGTGAAAAGTGTCGCACATGTGGACCTCATATTCGCACGTTCTTCCATTTCCAGCTTTTCCTCATAGTGCGAGGTCATGTGGTTTTGTAACTTTTAATTTATTTTTTCATGTCTCAATATGACCTGGCAATCGCTCCCTTAGAGATTAGACACAGCCAGCCAATGACAAAAATAAGTTGCTCAACCAGCGGAGCAATTCAGCACACAGGATGGGCAAGGACTTACTTAAGCCTGTTACTTAGCCTTTCACTGTGCATTTCCCTTAATGTGTATGTTCTTTTTATCACCCATTCCCATTCACCCTAAAAGCATTCCCCCCTCCGATGTGCTTCTTTCCTACTGAGGGGGATAAAAAGCGGGGGGCTAGAAAAGGAGAGGTTCATGGACTGCAGCCCAGAGAGTCTGAATTCCATGGATGGATGTGTAGGTGTAAAATAGGTCAAGAGGGACAGATCGGTCCAAGTGCTCATCCAAGTTCAGGCACAGATCTTATCCACTGCTTCAAAGCTCCTGATGAACAAGCAGAGTGGGTAGAAAGTACTCAGTGACTGATTATTGTTTAACCTACCTTTGCTATCGCAGCGCTTTTACACAACTCGTAACTGCCCATAAAAGTCTTGTTGTAATCTCAATAATGTACATCTCAATAAGTCTCGTCAAATTTAACTTTACTCATACAGAGACTATTAAATATACATGTGTGTATATATATGTCTTGATCTGGATACAAATGCTTGTCACTTCAACCCAGGCCTAAAGGTCTCACCAATGAGTAAATAGCAAGTTTCTGCATTGTGAAAACTTTATAAGTGAAGATTAGTATCCCCCCCCTGCTTTGACGTGTTACTCCACTGCAGCGTCTTCTGTTTAGAAAACAATTCAAATGATTGCAATGCCAGTACACATTTGTGTAGTTCATGTGGCAAGCAGTGATATAATATAAGGACAGTTCCTGAAAAGTGTATCGTGTGACAAATTGGAATCAGCAACAAGTTGTGGAAAACACTAGTTTTGCTATTTCACTTAAGAGAAATAGAAAGACGCTTTTCAAAAGAATTCCACCTATTTAGTCTTTCTTTTAATGCATCACAATAATAATTCTAGCGAGTTTTACTCAAAAATATGTTGTGCTCAAAAAGCAGAGTATACACGCTTTGACTTCTGGAGCTGTGAACCTTTTTTGATCTTCTCCTCATCTGAACCTCCGCTATCGAATCAAGGAATGTTAGCATGACGTAAAAGTACAAAATTAACCACCTCAGCGTTGTGTTGCGCATACCTTCCCTTGTTACTCTAGCCCACAGTTAGAGCAGCATTCATGAGTCAGAGCTCCGATGTGCAGCAGCAGGTGTAAAGCTGTTCATCGAAATGCTGTAACTTGTCCTCTGTGGGAACAGTGACATAACCGAAACACCCGTTAACTGCCCACGATGCTTTTGTATGGTTTCTGTACAGGTACACTCACTGTAAACAGACCTCTTGACAGGGCACTGGGCACAGTGTCAACATTTAAAATTTTAGACATTTTGAATTCAACTCTGTGTTCATGCTGCATTTCTTTGAGCTCTAACTGTGCCTTCAGTTGTGGATATTGTGAGTAACATCTAATTTTTTTTTTTAATTGTCTTGGTCGATGATTTCGTTGTTGTGACAATGCTTCTTGGAAATAAATTTTATACTGTTGGAAAGCCTGTTTGTTTGCCCAACAATGGCGCCAGAAAATGACAGAAAATGCATTTGTGGGTTGCGCATATGAAAAACAAAAAAAACCCCCAAAAGCCAAATCTTTACGTTCCAGATTTACTGCCAAGAACAGTTGTTACAACAAAGAAATAATTGATCAAACACAAATTTCCTTACTTTTTGTGCGAGGTTTATAATTATAGTTACCTACAATCATATATTTCTTATTTTTCTATATAAATATAATTGAATTCAGCAGAACTTCAAGCACGTAATAGTGAGCTGGTTTTTTTCAAGCACCGTAACAGCTCTGACTCAGGGCATGGATATGGGACCTCTGTGGGTGTCCAGCGGTTTTTGGCACTAGAACATTGGCGACGGATCCTCTGGGCCACATGTCCCCGCTTGGTTCACTCGGATTTGGAATTAGTGGAATGTGTGCATCAGCATCTAAGTTTAAGTAAGTTTTAGCTGTTCAAGTAACTTCCACATGAATTCAAGCATTGCGTTGTGATGAGATGATCACTGTTGCACTTTGTGCCTGTTTGTGGGTTTAATGATGTGGCTGGTGTGTGTGTGTAGCAGGAAAATGAAGGACAGTACGCGTGTCATCGCGGAAACAAAACATTCAGATGTCAATAAGGGCTCTAGGCTTAGCCTTTCCTCTCAGTGAAGATTATTATCTGTAAACACTCCAGTCAGTCAGTTATTCACGTTGGCAAGTTTGCTGAGTCGGCATGTTCCATGTCAGGTCTCGTCTGTCACGAATCGTCTTTTGTTAACAGGCCAAAATCCCAGTTCTCGCTTCTATAACCTGTGTTGCATTTCAGCTGAGACACATTTTTAACAAAGCATTATATTTTTAGTTTTATAGTGACGTTTATTTCCCTACCATCCACAGCCTTTTGTCATTCACGACATGGAGACCCTCCAGCTGGCAGAGCAGACACTGGCGGCCAAGATGGTCGGCTCCGTGGGAGCGATGAAGGACAAGGAGGTGGAGGTTCGGATTTTCCACTGCTGCCAGTGCACGTCGGTGGAAACCGTCACGGAGCTCACAGAGTTTGCAAAGTCCGTCCCCGGGTTCTCGAGCTTGGACCTCAACGATCAGGTGACTCTTTTGAAATACGGAGTGTACGAAGCCATTTTCGCCATGCTCGCCTCCAGTATGAACAAGGACGGGCTTCTTGTAGCGTACGGCTCGGGCTTCATCACCCGGGAATTCCTCAAGAGCCTGCGTCGACCGTTCAGCGACATGATGGAGCCAAAGTTCCAGTTTGCCATGAAGTTTAATGCGCTGGAGTTGGACGACAGTGATCTGGCTCTCTTTGTGGCTGCCATCATCTGCTGTGGCGGTGAGGAAATTTGTTGCATGCATTCTTCAGTATCCTATAAAATCCTTTTTACATTACAAAAGATGATGATGTTTCTCTCATTTTCATTTTGGCTAGACCGGCCAGGCCTGGTGAATGTGGCACACATCGAGGTGATGCAGGAGAGCATCGTCCAGGTCCTGCAGCTCCATCTGCTGGCCAATCACCCTGATGACACTTTCCTCTTCCCCAAGCTGCTGCAGAAACTAGCTGACCTGAGGCAGTTAGTCACTGAGCACGCACAGCTTGTGCAGGAGATCAAAAAGACAGAGGACACCTCACTGCATCCGCTCCTGCAGGAGATCTACAGAGACATGTACTGAAGACTTTGGAGGTATAACCACAGTAGGAAAACAAGAAACCATCTCCTTCTGAGCGGGGACTTGAAAAGAAGAGGAGACGTCCACATACTGGGTTTGAACCACTTAACCTCTGACCCTAAAGGGTTAGCTTTGGTGTCTGTCCAGTGTAAGGGAACCTAAAGGTGAAGAAAAAGGAGGCTGATGATTCATTTGATTTGACAAAGTGCTTTCCACTTCATTGTGTGTGAACCTTATCAGGCAGAAGAATCATGTATGCTAAGATACTTTGTACAGCTGATTGAGCCCCTGTCCAGACACCACTGAATGCAATCTCTGACCAAACTCTAAATGTTCTTTTTTCCATATTTTTTTTAAAACGTCTGTAAGGTCACCTCCTTGGTGAAACCCTGAGGTAACCCTAATTTGAAGAACAAAAGTGAACTTTATAATTGCCACTCCAGCCGATTGTTTTACAGCAACGAGCCATATGCCCGAATAACTTAATAACAGCAGCAATTATGCAGTTTAAATCAAGGCAGCTTCTCCTCAATTGGCTACCAAAATGTGGCCGGTTGAGGAGCCAGTGGTTATGAGCACACCAGCCCGCCACCGTGATTCTCAAGCTTTTCTGTGGAGTCACGTCCTGAACATAACCATTTTATCTGTACGTCATGTCCCCGAAGTCATACTTCTTAATGACACAGTAGAAATTGCCATCATCATTATTATTATTTAATTTTAATATTCTTAACAAGAAATACGACTTAGTTCTTAAGTTGTCCACAAACTGTACTGGGAATGCTATTTTTTATTTTTTTTAAATTAGGTAGCAGTGCCCAAAGTTCAGACTCACTGTGTACATGCACCACAATGCACTGAAGCACAAGCATGCCTGTGATATGTTAATGTGACACTTTTCTAATGGAGGTTTCAAAGGACAAAAAAGACATACACAGGTGTTTAGCACTCCCTCCTGATGTGTGTTCTGGTATTAAAGGGCTAACACTGTTATTAACCACAATACAACTCTGACACGGGCGACACATGAATTCACTCAGCGAATCTCTCTCTCTCTCTCTCTGTTATTGTGTTTAACTGTCTGTTTGGTCCTCATAACACACGTGTTAGTTAAGATTTAACAATCTTATGTGCACATTTTTCCCTGATGAAAATGTAATTGTTTTTATTTTTCCCAGCTAAGAGAAAACCACAGTGATAAGGCCTCATTGGTGAAACATCTAGTTTGTTAGTTGAAAGGTTGTCACACTTTCATTTGTTTAGTTTTCTCTGTGAAATCACTTGGCCAGTTATAGAAGACAGTCAATCTGGACGTATGCAGGTAAAAGAAAAATGAGTCTGTAGCCCTTTTCCTACTCAGTTATTCTCTGGCTTTTTGCTATCTAACAAAATAGGCACATTTCCATGTGAAAGTGCCGCTCCTGCATTTTGTTGTCGCACTGCCTTCTAATATAAAATACATACGGTGGACATCAGAGGACCTATGTTAAGGGAATGCTGAAAACATGCATAGTTTTCTGATAGTTCGGATCATACACATCTGACTCTCTGTGAGAGGGCGCTACTCCTTTTCTGCCTCATCACTCACACTGTCCTGAAATGATCATTGAATTCAGAGAAATGTTCCTTATGTTTGTAACACATCGCAACATCAGAGCGGGCTTTACATAACTGAAGCTTTCACACTGACTGCTCACCCCAGCTTTTAACTCTCGTGGTAAACAAGGTACTAATGATGATGGACTTTTGTATTCGTAAGTTGGGTGAATACTTTCAGATGTTTGAACATTTACAGTAAATGTAGTTATGTACTGTTTTTTTTTTTCTTGGTCTAAATGCGTCATGCTTGTCTTTGAATCAAATCGTATTTTTATACTGAAGTATGAATATATATATATATATATATATATATAAATATATAAATCTCACATGTGTTTAGTTGAAATGGCACAGCTGAAGAGTACATTGTAAATAGACTTAAGGTGTAACAGGGCAACTGGTAATCTGCATATCCATAGATCAGAATTTTTGAAATGGAGAGTCATCTAGACCATAATGTGCATTCAGTTCCTTCAAGTTGCACTTCGTTTATCTGTCGAATTAAGCACTAGAGTTTTAAACTGCAAGCATGCGTGGTCTGCGCAGGGCTACACTAGCTTACACGTTTGAGTGGCTAGTTATAAACTTGACCTCTGTGACCTTTTGATTACCATGAAGAGTAAAAAGGAACAAAACATTTCATAGGAAATGTGAAGGCACAGCTTAGCACTGATCATCCAGTACTAATCCCTTCTTCTAATGCTTTTATCTCAGGTTGTACATAAGAAAACAAAGGGGGTAATATATGCACAGATTGGGGGGGTGGGGGGGTCACATAATCTCTGTTGGTTTATAGAGAAACTGAATGCACTCATAATGTAATTTGCCATTAAATCACATGCTATAGCAGTAAATGTGTTGCAGTAATGAGAAAAACACGTATATTGTTTTACAATTCTGATCTCATCGTGCTTTTTCTCTTTGTTTTTGTCTGACTTTTCTCACTCGCTGCTATATTGTACTAACTTACCAAGCATTTCTTATGCCATAAGTAGATTACTGATCTTTAAACTGCCTCTACTTGCATATATCTGGTCACAGAATGTCAGACCCACTTCAGCGCAGCTCAGTTTTTAACCTTGCAGATTTCCTGGGACTCGCTTATCCCAGGTGTGCTCGGGGAAAAACCACAAACCTGTGTGTGCCTTAGTGTGTGCCATAAAACACCAGATTTAAAAAAAAAATAAAAAAAAGTTTCTTGCGCACACACGTGTAAACTGTTGGCATCTTCAGCTAGATTTAGCTGTTTGTGACACAAAAGGGTCCCACAGGCTGGAAAATAATGTCACTGTACATTCTATACAATGTGCACCCTTCTGGGCAGTAACAGTGAAGGATTTGCTTTTCAAAAATACAGACTTTTTAAATGTTAAACATTTAAAAAAAAACTGCTAGAAACTTTATCAACAAGGCAACTTAAAATGTCAACAAGATGTCATGTAAATTTGCAAAGTCAGCTTTCCCTTAAGAATGTTTTTTTGTGTGTTGAACTGTCAAGGGACTTTTAAACTTTTATCAGGGAATCGTAGTCTTCCTTTGTTGAACTAGCTCAGGATATAGGACAGTACTGTTTTCCCTTCCTCGTTCACTCTGGAGTGAGTATAGAGTGCTCTGCCTTACAATACGCATACACCAACAACAATACAGATTAAGATTACCTTTATTTTTGTTTTTCCTGAACTGAAAGAAAGAAAAGAAAAACTTGGGCTTACTTGGGGCAGCAGTTATAGGATTTAGAAACGTGATTTTTTTTTCTCTCCTGAGTTAAACTTGTTTCTGTGGCTGTAGTGTCATGCAGAGACCATGGAGTCTCCCTTTTGATGTGTCGTTAATGTGTACTGTGGCTTGATAACAATACTGTAAATGTTTGATGAATGTATATTTAGTCATTTAAACGATGAAACAAATTGAGATTGAATGGATTTAAAAATAAAGTGATTTTAAAATCTGCTACGTATCGTGTGTTCAGACTTTAGTAGGTAACGCCAGTCAGTGCAAGTTATTTTTATTATAACATTACCTTATTTACTTTTTATACCAGAGCTAGGTTTCTAGTTCAGATGCATCTTTACGACACCAAGATGTGCGCATACAAAACCAAGGTGCCATCAACAAGACTGCTGAGGGACATTTAACCACATATTAGATGAGCTGTATGTATACTTTTGATCCTGTGGGTCATTTTAAAACGGGTGACTCCAGCAAACTGGTAGTCCAAACTGCAGAACCCTGGATTTGCTGCTGAGCCTTTTCTTTATGCCCAATTCATCCATGACTGTCAACCTTCCCGTGTGACAAACACCATTAGTTCACACAACGGTCATTGGCCTGATCTCCAGTTATGATGAGACTGCATACAGAGATAAAGTGCAGAACCTAATGGCACGGTGCACCACTAACAACCTCACCACACACACACTGTCTCCTTGGTAGCAAAACCAAGGAGATTGTGGTGGACTTCAGACCGTCTAAGACATAGGTGTCAAACTCTGGCCCGCAGCCTAATTACATTTGGCCCGCGAAGCCATACCAAATTACTATTAGAGCTGGCCTACTGGTATTATACAGCTAATATATATATTGTTTAGTATTAAGCGTTGCTTGTTCCATATTCAGTTTTCCAGCAAAACTTATTTGAGTCCATAAGAAAAGATTCATTCCTATATCTGGAGGAAGATTTTTTTTTTTTATAAATATTAATGTTATCCCGTGACTTTGTTCCAGTTTTGAATTTTGGCCCACTGTGTAGTTGAGTTTGACACCCCTGGTCTAAGAGAACAGACACAGGTCCTGTGTACATCAACAAAGAGGCTGTTGAAAGAGCCTATAACTCTAAATTCCTCTGTGTGCATATTAAAGATGAACACTCTTGGTCCAAGCAAAGTCATTTCGTTGTTTTGCTTCCCTGCGCATCAGAGGGGGAAAATAGCTCAAAGAAATCATTAAAAGTCCAAACTGACCACAGCATTCATGCCCACGATAAGTATATGTAAACTGCGGGTAGTACACCCAAGCGTTTCCTTGAGAACCACCGCACCAGAGGGCGCTCTGCTCCTACCAAACGACCCAAGCTTCTACTCAGTTCCACCTCCGTGTTCTTGTCACATTGTCCAACATGGCTGCGTCCATGGTGGGTATCTGCTGTTATGTGTGGCGGCGTGGCTCTTGTAATCTTCTCGGGCCGGCCACTCTTTGCCTCACACTCAGGTCTAAATTTCACTCTTCTTCTTCCGCGCACCACGGGCTGCTTCTCTCTCTGCACAAACGCGGCGTTCTGAAAGACTCATTCCCAGAAAACGCAGCCCAAGAGCAGCTCCCCCGGCTGCTCCAGTCCGGTGCTCAGACGGTATACTGCGGATTTGACCCCACAGCCGACAGTCTCCATGTGGGGAACTTGCTCGCTCTCATCGGCCTGCTGCACTTCCGAGGCGCCGGACACCATGTGATCGCGGTGCTCGGAGGAGCCACGGCACAAATCGGAGATCCGAGCGGGAAGACGAGCGAGCGGGAGCAGCTGTCCGCGGACGTGGTGGAGGCGAACATCCACAGCATCCGGGAGAGCATTCAGATGATCTTCACCAACCACGAGCTGCACTTTCACGACGGTTCCAGGCCGCTGGGAGCCGTGACTGTTCTAAACAACCTGAGCTGGTATAAGAACTGGGGCGTGGTGGGGTTTCTGTCGGAGGCTGGAAGACACTTCAGGATGGGCACCATGCTCAGCCGCCACAGCGTGCAGTCCAGGCTAAAGAGCGCCGAGGGCATGAGCCTGACAGAGTTCACCTACCAGGTGTTCCAAGCTTATGACTTCCACCACCTGAACCAAATATACGGCTGCAAGATTCAGCTTGGAGGCACCGACCAACTGGGCAACTTGATGTCTGGCCATGAGTACATTCACAAGTAAATGTTTTTCCAAGCCCACTACTGTTACAGTACTGGGCTAATTAATTCATAATTACCTGTCCCTGATAAGCCTGCAGTCCACCTTTTGAAGCAGGACTAGGCTATTTTTGTGTGGATAAACCCTGCATGTATTTCAGACTCCATTATAAAATCTGCAAATTCACTATATATTCTTGATCATTAGATGCACATACATCAAATTGTTTTGAGACATTAAGTTCTACACCCAATTATACCACCAAGATGTTTTTGGGTTGGGGTTGTTTTTTTTTTTGCCTGTCTCTCTACCAACCAAATCACACACATGCCTGCCAGATTTACCCTGAAGGCTGCCTTGAAACACTGAAAATGTTATTTTTCTCCAGAGTAAGCGGCGAGGAGGTGTACGGCCTGACCATCCCGTTAGTTACCAGCACTGTCGGGGACAAGCTGGGGAAAACTGCAGGCAATGCAGTGTGGCTCAACAGAGATAAGACGTCACCCTTTGAACTCTACCAGTTCTTTCTCAGGCAGCCTGATGCCAGTGTGGAAGGGTATGTGGAAGTGAAGGCTGATCATGTTTGTTGAGTTTTAATGAAAGTGCAATATCCACAAACGTCTCATCGCAACCCTGTTTTTATCCGAAAGTAAGTATTCGGTGCACAGTCATAGGATGCTGAGGTGTACTGTGTGGGCTGTTTTTTTTTTTTTGTAGGTATCTGAAGTTGTTCACCTTTCTGCCTTTGGCAGAGGTAGAGAAACTGATGGAGCAACAGAGAGAAGATCCAAGTAAACGCCTCGCCCACAAAAGACTGGCTGCTGAAGTGACAAAACTGGTGCATGGAAAGGAGGGCCTGGAGACTGCAAAGAGGTTAGAATTGATCTGTGTGTTTATTCCCCTAAATTATACATTTTATTTTCTTGAATCCTCATCTAGAGCTCTTTTACGCTGTAACTTCTTAGAGTCAAAGTGCATTGTGTTTAGAACAGCAGGACTATGCTCTGCCAAAAAGTGGAAAATGTTATGCCTGCAGTACAGTAAGAGGAAAGTGCTCATTGCTGTAGTCTTTGTTTGCTGTGGCTGCCCATGTCCTCTGTCTTCCATGTGGACAGAATGGTCATATTTAATGTCGTCATTGCAGATGCACCAATGCACTTTATCACAGCAGCGTGCAAGCCTTGGAGGAAATGAGTGATGAGGAGCTTCAGGAACTCTTCAGGGAGGCACCTTTCCATGAGCTGCTGTTGGAGCCGGGGACAACTGTTATAGATGCCTGCCGCAAGGTCGGCGCCATCCCTGAGGGTCCCAGAGGGTAAGCACCCCAGTTCTCCTTTATCTAAATGCGGTACCAGAGTGGTATGTAGTGCTTTGATAGAGCTTGTTAGTGTGAGCATACATGCACCCAGAGATCCACAGTGTAATCTTTTGTGTATGGTGTGTAATGCAGTTTCTGGGAAATAGAGGTGGGGGGATTGATCCAAATGTCGATAGCACCGATACCAAAGTTGGTATTTGTATCAGAACGAGAGTAGCAAGATAAGATCGATACTTTGTTTCTATCCTCCAGCCCGCTGAATTTTGTTAAGCAAATAATTTTTTAGTAAATGAAGCTAAAATCTTCAATGAAAAACATCTGAACCTTTTTGAGTTGACTGTCACAGCTATTTTATTTCTATCCTGTAGAACACAAGTGCTGAAGAGTAGTGTTTTTTTGCAGCAGGTGCAGGAGTTTGTGGTCTCTTTGTTCTTCAGTGATAACGCTCACAGGTAGCCACAACAACTTCTTTGTGTCCGAGGTGTAACGATAACACCCAGTCACGATCACGCAGTCAAATTTCATAAGCTGGTTTCCTGAAAGAAAAAAAAAAAAGAAGCATTGCTTGTGTTAGCTGGGTTGCAGCTGCCCCTACAGCCTGTAACCATGTAACAGTTTGATGTGTGCCTTTAGTGCAACGATAGCAACCAGTCACATTCACGCCGCCACATTTCAAAAAGCTTCTTTTGTAGAAAACAAAAGCGTTTTCTTTGATTCTAGCTCTGCTGTCATGTAGCTACAGCCAAGATAACTGCCACATCTAAGGTGTATAATGTAGCAACAGCCCTGCAACATGTAAACAGTTAAATGTGTCATAATTATAGCTTACCAGCATAAAAATGTCATGATCAGATTAACGTATTTTCAAAAATGTTGTTGAAAAGTACGTTGTTTCCTTCTTCTGGCTACTACCCAAGCCATGCAAAACTGCAAAATGAACCCAAATCATCAGCCCTCCACCGCCGTGCTTGACAGTCAGTATGAGATGTTTGTGATTTCCTGTATTTGGTTCACTCCAAATGTGAAGGTCAAGTATATATCCACATTGGTCGTGTTTATTCAAAGGACAGCTTGCTTGTTTTTTAAGGAGAGAGGAGGCTTTCTTCTGGTAACGATTCCAAATAAGACTTGTTAACTCTTTTCTAATTGTACTATCATGAACTTCCGCATTTAAAAATGCTAACAAAGGCCTCTACTGTCTGTGATGTATCTCTTGGGTTTTTTGGAGTTTCTCTGAACATTGCATAGTCTGACCTTTGCTGGGATGTGCACTTATCTGAGGATTGATAGCTCCCTTGAATGTTTCCGAGTTGTGAATAATCATTCTGACTGTACAGAGATGGAGTTGAAATTATTTGACCTTATGACCTTGTTAAAGCCACTGCTGTCTTTCCTCCTTGGCACTATGTTAACATGTGCCCGAATGCCTCAGACCAGTAAACTGCCAAAACCTTTATAGAGGTGCTCACACTTGTAGATCAGTTAAGTCCATTTGATTAGCAGCTCCTGGATCCTCCCCACTCTCTAAATTCCTGTGGAAGAATACAGGGTGTGCTTTCTTTTTCACATGACTTTTAGATTTTCTTTTTCAAGATGAAACCCTGTCCTAACTGATGGTGTAAATGTTTGTGTGCAGGTATCAAATGGTTTCAGATGGAGCAGTGTGGATCAACCACACACGTACAGACAACCCGGAGCAGGTACTGATCCCCAAACTCCACATCCTGGCTAATGGACTCACGCTGCTCAGAGTGGGCAAGAAGAACTTCTACATTATCAAGTGGCTTAGCCTCTGACGGTGCCTTATCAAGCAGGAGACCACTATATTATAATGGACTAACTGGGAAGGTAGGCGACTACACCTCAGCAGAGTCAGGAAGGATCATTTCCATTTTTTTGGATATAAATATGTGTATGTACAGATTAAATGTTTATTTAAAACATTTCTATTAAAAGCGTTTGATATCACGATTGCTTCCTGGTTACTTTGTATGGACATTGAGAGGCGGTGTGATGACCACTAGGGGGCATCATTGCCCCAGAATTAATGGTGGCCAGCCAGCAGCCACAGCTGCAGCACATAGCCTGCTGTGACCTCTTAAGTAAATAATTGCTCACAGTAAAATTAAATTGCATCATTTCTTGCAGGTTGCTTGCTTCTATTTTAAGCAAATCCAATTTGTTTCATCTTGATCAGAACCTGAGGCGAGCATCTTTTTTGACATCACTCTTGTTTTGGGGGCTTTTTTTGTTTGTTTTTTTCCCCTTCAGTGGAAAAGTGTAAAACTTGGACGATAAAGAAAAAGAAGCTGGAAAAAAAAGCTTGATAAATTTAAAAACAAACAGTACTTTTGCTTGAAGATCACATTTTTAAATAGAGCCTTATATAAGAAACAAAGAAGTTTGGACTATTATTTTCAAATTCAATTCAAAGCAGGAATTTGTACATTATTGTTGACCTGACTTGTGTTGAAAGCAACACATCTGCTCATTTTTAGCAGATTACTGATCCCTCCTCCTTGCAGGTAATGATCAAAACATTTAATCTAGTGTCCTCAATATGAGAGTCAGTGTAAATTTAGAAATCACTGCTTTGCACTTTGGCACACCCTGCCTACTTTTTTCCAGATTAGGGTTAAAAACATAAAATTAAAATTTTCCATATTTTTCTTTTTTTTTATTGGTAATTTCTAATGGGATCTGGATAACGCTAGGGATTTGTGCGGACCTGCCAAGTTTTTCCTGAGGTGTCGGGGGAAAAAACTTTAACATTGAGTACTTTCGGCTTCTTTTTTTTTTTTTTTTT